GGCAGCTCCCATGCCAGAGGACGAAGAGAGCACATCCACTCAGTCACGGTCAGAGAAACAGGACCACACTGGAAAACCGGCCGATCTCCAACATCTATAAACAAGGGTGTTGATAGAAGCAGCACAGCTGATGTTTCTTTCCAGGATGACGTCACAGCCAAACAGGAACAGACGAGGCAAAGCTACTCTGAGGAAAAGCAGAGAGAGCAGAAGGTTAGAGATTGAACTAACAGATTCTGCAGAATAGGAGAACAGAGAGAGAATGAAGCAGAATTATGAAATGGGGGTCCCTATGTCCTCCAAAAGTCTAAGCCTATAGCAGCATAACTATAGAGATAGCTCAGGATAACCTGAGCCACCCTAACTATAAGCTTTATCAAAAAGGAAAGTTTTAAGCCTAGCCTTAAAAGTAGACAGGGTGTCTGCCTCACGGACTAAAACTGGTAGTTGGTTCCACAGGAGAGGAGCCTGATAACTAAAAGATCTGCCTCCCATTCTACTTTTAGAAATTCTAGGAACGATTAGTAAACCTGCAGATTGAGAGCGAAGTGCTCTGTTAGGAACATAAGGAACAATCAGATCTCTGATATAAGATGGAGCTTGGCCATTTAAGGCTTTATATGTGAGAAGGAGGATTTTAAATTCTATTCTTGATTTAACAGGAAGCCAATGAAGAGAAGCCAGGATAGGCGAGATATGATCTCTCTTTTTAATTTTCATTAGAACTCTGGCTGCAGCATTTTGGATCAGCTGAAGGCTTTTAACTACAGTTTGTGGACTTCCTGATAGTAAAGAATTACAATAGTCCAGCCTTGAAGTAACAAATGCATGGACTAGTTTCTCAGCATCACCCCTGGACAGGATATTTCTAATTTTTGTAATGTTCCTCAGATGAAAGAAGGAAATTCTAGAAACCTCTTTGATGTGGGATTTAAATGACAGGTCCTGATCAAAAATAACACCAAGATTTTTTACTTTATTATCTGAAATCAGTTTAATCCCATCCAAATGAAGTGACTGGCTAATCAGTTTCTTTTTCAGAGACTCTGGTCCAAAGACTATAACTTCTGTTTTGTCTGCATTCAGGAGCAGAAAGTTAAGAGTCATCCAGGTTTTTATGTCTTCAAGACATGCCTGTAATCTATGTAATGGGTTAGCTTCATCTGGATTTATAGACAGATATAGCTGGGTATCATCAGCGTAACAGTGGAAATTAATCCCATGCTGTCTAATAATTCTACCAATTGGGAGCATGTATAAAGTAAAGAGAATTGGTCCTAGCACTGATCCCTGTGGTACTCCACAGGTAACCTTTGAGCGTGTTGAAGATCTATCATTAACATGAACAAACTGAATTCGATCAGATAGATAAGATTTAAACCAGTCTAGTGCTGTTCCTTTAATTCCAACAAAATATTCAAGTCTTTCTAAAAGAATATTATGGTCAACTGTATCAAATGCAGCACTAAGATCCAACAGGACGAGCACAGATACAAGTCCATTATCTGAGGCCATGAGAATATCATTAGTGACTTTCACCAGAGCTGTTTCAGTGCTATGATGAGCTCTAAAGCCAGACTGAAACTCTTCAAAAAGTTCATTATGGTGGAAGTGATCGCAAACTTGTTTGGCAACTACTTTCTCAAGAATTTTGGATAAGAAAGGAAGATTGGATATAGGTCTATAATTGACCAAGTCATCTGGGTCAAGAGACGGTTTCTTAAGCAGAGGTTTAATTACAGCAACCTTAAAAGCTTTAGGTACATATCCCTGTAACAGAGATAGATTAATCACATCTAAAATGGAGGAGGAGATCAAAGGGAATACCTCCTTAAATAACCTGGTTGGAACTGGATCTAACATACAAGTTGAAGGCTTAGATGAAGACAATAATTTTGCTAATTCAGAGAGTTCAACTGGATCAAAGCAGTCTAAACCCGGTTCAGATTCCATGACTACCTCAGGTACAATCGCGGATAGAGGAGTGCTTATGATCTTATTTTTAATAAGATCAATCTTATTTATAAAGAATCCCATAAAATCATTGCTGCTAAGAGCAGGTGGAATGGACGGTTCAACAGAGCTATGGCTCTGGGTGAGTTTGGCAACTGTATTAAAAAGAAATCTAGGATTATTCTTATTCTCCTCTATTAATGAGGAGAAGTATGCTGCTCTTGCTTTACAAAGAGTCCTCTTATACAGCAGTAAACCATTTTTCCAGACTAGGAAGGACTCTCGCAGGCCTGTGGAGCGATATTTTCTCTCCAGTTTCCTAGCATTTTGCTTCAAAGTACGCAGCTCTGCATTAAACCAAGGAGCAAGCTTTCTATTTTTAACGGTTTTCATTTTCAAAGGAGCTGCGTTGTCTAAGGCAATACGCAGAGAACTAGCAACCCCATCAACAAAATCATCAACCTGTGAAGGGGAATAAGCTAAGCTTTTGCACTCTGCAGCACTGCTCAGTGACACAGATGAGAGAGAAAGTGAAGCAGATTCTTTAAAATTTATAACTGCACTATCTGATAAAGATCTACTAAAATTGAACCTTCTTTTGGGGGATGAGAACTCTGTTAAAGTAATCCTGAAGGTTATTAGAAAGTGGTCAGAGAGGACAGGGTTGTGAGGAAATACTGTTATTTCTTCACATTCTATGCCGTATGTCAGCACAAGATCCAAAGTATGAAGATGAGAATGCGTGGGACTATTCACATTTTGAACAAAGCCAATAGTGTCTAAGATAGCATTAAAGGCTGCTCTTAAGCTATCGCCTTCAATGTCAGCATGGATGTTAAAATCTCCCACTATGATGACCCTGTCAGTATTTAATACCAAATCAGAAAGGAACTCTGAAAACTCATCTAAAAATTCAGAGTAAGGACCTGGTGGACGATACAAAGTTACAAAAAGAAGAGGTTTTCTTGCCTTGAAATTTGGATCAGGGAAATTAAGGGTTAAATGTTCAAAAGAGTTGTAGGTATTAATTGTTTTGGGAGTAATCAGTAAGTCAGACTGGAAGATTGTTGCTACTCCTCCTCCTCGCCCAGAACTTCTGGGGATGTGAAAATTTAAATAGCTTGAAGGAGTTGCCTCATTTATGCTCACATAATCCTCTTGCTGCAGCCAGGTTTCTGTAAGGCAAAACAAGTCAATGTGTATATATATATATGTATATATGTATGTATATATATATATGTATGTATATATATATATGTATGTATATATATATATATGTATATATATATATGTATATATATATATATATGTATATGTATATGTCTGTACAAGGACCAAGTTACACTTCCCCCACTTGTGGAGACAATAGATGTATAGTATTACTGATCTAAGTATGAGTTGGAGGAGGGGGACTGGGTAGGTTTTGTAGGTATTGGACTCCTTCTTATAAACTGCTTACATATTCTATAATTTCCAAAAGGATTTTTCTGTTTGGGTTTAAAAAGTGTTTGATAAAAGAATAAGATTTTTGTGTCAGCACGTGTGTCTGTATGCAGAAACAGCAGGCAGGCATGTCATGGGGACTCCAGATGGTACGTGGAGAAAACCCTCCTTTAATCCCAGAGCCAGAATATTACTGCCCCCACCCCCGCCTCATGCATCTACCCACTCAATCATTACTGAATCTGCACAGTCAGTCCTCCCACCCCCCAACAGGGCCCACTTTCCTTTTATATTCATTATTGACACACTGTTATCTTATCCAAGCTTAGACGTAGTGCATCATTACACCCAGATTGATCAGGTATGAATACCAATTCATGACACACTCTTCTTGTTTGAAATGCAAAAAAGAAACAAAAAAAGACATCTGTACAACCATGGATTAAAATGCTTCCAAGTGAGTATAATGCATTACTTTATGCAGGTCTATTGTATATAAGATCGCAATAGAAGAGGTTCAAGGAAAATTATTACTTTTATGAGGAGTTTCAAATGTGTAAAAAATAAAAAAATAGAATTTACTGGAGCTTTGCCTCAGGTAGTGACAGAAATGTAAACTTGCCAATGCATTTGAGCAATTTTACGTTTTGAATATGATAATTTATGAGTTAAGTTGGTTTTTTGTTGTTTTTTTTATGTGTTTTTAAATGATTGATAATAAAAAGAATGCCTTCCTCTTAGAACCAGAGAACTGGGACCCAAAGTCCTCCGTTGATTTTTCTTCCGGCTCCATTCATTTGACTATTTGTTTTTGTTTTGTTTTTTGTTTTAATGAAATATAGCTTAAGTTAATCAAGATTTACCATTTGTATCCTCTCTGCAACAGAGTGGTGTTTGTTTGATGTGTGAAAACTCACCACTGTTTTTTGCCCTCTTGTTTATACCAAAAACCTCTGACACCCTCAGCCCACCCTGTAATAGAATGGTAAATACAATGGATCATCGGGATTAAATCAGTGCTCCTGTAAGAGGTTTATTCTGTATTATTTTATCTTTGTGTGATATTGTCATGTTTGACACAGATCTGGTCTTACCCTTGATCCTTCTAATCGATTAGTTGTGTATGTATTATCTGGTGTGAGTTCTGTGGGATCTGTACGAGCTGATCATAGTTTTACAACCGCTGCTGTTATTCTCTTTTATCTAACATGTGCATATTAACTGGCTGTGTTAAAGCAGAGCTGGGGCTCCCCACAGATGATGCCCCACTTATCACAGCCAGACTAATTGGAGGTTCTGTGTCCAAGGGGAGATGTTGCTCCTTTTCATTTAGTATTCAAAGCAACGTCTGCTCCAGGTTTCGAAAAATGCAGCTCAAGGAACCAGACTCCAAAAGTTTGGCAGCTCTTGCATCCAATGAGGTTTTCTTTGGTTTAGTGTTTGACAGTTTCATATTATGCTGTTCATACCCCCTCACTCATCACGCTTTCCAACCTCTGAGTGATGGTGATCCTAAATAAAACATGTGGCTCTCTGAAACTGGTTCTCTCCCCGTGTGCAAGCTGACTATTTTTCTGTTTTGTTTCCTTGCTTTGTTTTTTCAGAGAGGAAAGCGAAAACTTCCTGCTGCCAGACCAGAACCACTGAAGATGAGAGCTGCATAGCGGTGAAAATCGAACAATCCAGAGGTGCGCAGCATAACTCGCGTTTACCTTACCTGCTAGCTTCATTTTGTGTTTGATTTAGTTTTTCTTTTATGGAGCAAACAGAAGGTGCACCTTTCTTGTGTCACCCTGCTGATTTTTTTTTTTCTTGGAGATACATTTCCCCAAAGCTTATTTGTTAATCTAACACTTTTGTGAGAGTTTCCACTGTTAGAAAACTGGAAACTGCCGGGAGTGTCTTCTTCCCCCACCTGATCGTCATGGTGATCATCCTAGCATTTTAATCCTCTGCTGGTCCCAAATCATTTAAGAATTGAAATTGATTGCGGTTGTTTTTAGTTGTTTTTACAGTCTTAGGACCATTTAACCTTAGAATCTTATTGATTAAAGTCTGTATCCTGTTTTACATATGACTGAAAGTGATTGTGTATAATCTAGAACCAGCAACAACAACAAAAAACAATCCTCCAACCAACAAAACAGAGAAAATATATCAAATTTCAGAAAAAAAATTTACTTTAGTCAATATGTGCCTTTACACTTCAGCCATTCAGATGTCCTTTTTATGTGTGAATATCATTATAATGGTGATGATTCTGATGATGATTTCCTAGAGTTTCTGCTGGTTCTGCTGTGTGGGAGGGGCAGCTCTATCAGAAAACTCATTTAGATGCAAAGCCTAATTGCATAACCAAAGAGGAGGGCTTTGGCTTGCCTCACATTCAGATTTATGCTCATGCATGAGTTTCAACACTTTCAGGATTTTCCTGATTTAATGTCAATTAAGAGAAATCAAGTGGATGAAATTCTAAAGGAGGAATCGCCTGCATTTTGCCTCTGAGTGCAAAAACAAAATTTTTCCAACATAGGTGTGTTTTTTGGTGGGGAGGTGGTAGTGATCTAACTCATGGTCTGTTTATTTCTTATGAATCATTTTCTTGCTTTCTTGTGACCATTTTTTTAAATCTTTTTATACATTTTGTCTCTTTCTTTTTTCTGTACTGAAAAGCTAGTTATTGCTTTTATTTTCATGCAAGTTCTTTTGTCTTTTTCTGTTTTCCTGCCTTTTCTTTTAATCTTTTAATCTGCCTTTTCTTTTAATCTGCCTCTTACCTGCAGCTTGTCTTTGTGGCAATTGACCATCCACTGTTTCAAGTTATCATGTTCATCTTGACTCAGGGCAGAGCTTGATATAATTTCTGATGAATTACGGTAATCATAAAGACAACGATTTAAAATTAAGAACATCTGGCCTCAAATGGCGTTCCGTGACATATTTATCACCCAAAAAAAATGAAAACTATCTTATATCTATTTCTTGGCTACATCTAATAAGCCAGGCTCTGTACCTCTTCAGTTCGAGGTTTTCATCAGGAGGGAGCAGCATTTATGCTGCAGCTTCACTGATTTAAACTAAACCATATGTACTCATTTCACAGCAGCATAAAGCTGCTTATCTTTTTACCTCTAAGAACATCTCAGTATTTTAGTTTGCAACAAACCTGAATTTGTTCAATGAAACGCTGTTTTGTTGTGGCTAGCTGTATTCCAGGTGTCAGTTAACACATTAGGGGTAATGTCTCAATAACTGAGCCAACTTCTTGGAAATGCTGCAGCAGAAGGGAGGCATGCATGTTGCACAATGCCTGCTAAGTCCTAATTATTAATACTGATCAAACTTTAAAGAGGTCCTGAATTGCAGGGAGCCAGCTGTGCATCAGGTCGCCATGACAGCCAGTTTTTAACATTGAGTACAGCAGCTCTGATTGGACAAGAGATGACTAATGCACTTGTTTTCTCTCATTTCTTTTTCACCTTGGCCATCACAGGAAGTGTAAAAAACAAAAATAATCTCCCAGATACACAGCAGACAGTAAAGATGCTGCAGCTGGTTGTTCCTCTAACTCTGGGCATGCTTTAGCTTTCTACTGGTTTTCCAAACTGACAGACTGAGCTGCAGAGCTCAACCACTCAATATTAACACACAGACTGAACCAAAGCATGCAGATTCCACAGTTCTGATGATTTTCTGGCTTTTTAAAAATAAGAAAACAATAAGAAACTACACAAGCGAATAAGAGACAGATATGAATTTCACAACAAGAAAAAAAAATATTTCAGTTTCTAGAATTTTATCTTTCAAATTTAGATTGGATGAATTCCCTCAACAAAGATAGTCATATAATTTACTCAGGTAAAATTATATTTAAAACAATTTAGTCCCTATTACAGTTCAGTACAGTATAAATCAGTTGAAAACATATTACCAGTGAGTAAAACATTATCTAACAGGTTCCAGTTGGTAATTTTCTTTTCTCCGTGGACAAGCATGAGTAGACAGATGGTTCATTGAGTCACTGACTTATTGAATGACCTGAACTATTTTAGCCAAGTATGACCTGATGTTGCATGTTTATTCTTAAGTTATTGATAAGAAAGGGGATTTGTCATGATAACCACCAACTCTGATTATTTTTGCAAACCCAAAAAACTTCCAGAATAGCTTTGTTTTTATTTCAGCTGCTTTAACCATTTTTTTTTCTTATGTTGGTGTTTTACTGCACTGAACTAGCTTATTTAACGTTCTGATCATAGCTTGTCTATTCCAATAAAGATAGCAAAGATTTATTTACAGTATTCTCATCACTTTTATTATTATTCCAACATCAGTTCAGTGCATTTAATGTAAATACAAAGCTTAAATGCAGTAGTTATTCCCAGTATCACGTTTCTGCTTTCTGTAGGTATTTAATCATGAAATGAGCAGCTCACACAAAAATGTTTTAAACAATATTGCTTTTATGGTAAATATGTGTTTATACAATGTTTTTAAAAATAATATGACACGGTTCAAATAGAGTCAAAAATAACTAATCAGAAAAACATCCGAGGGGAAGGAACTTTTTAAGATAGTTGGTGTTTGGAAATAGTGCTCTGTAACCCTGACCTGAAGATAGTTTGTGTTTAAGTTGTGTGGCACAGTTATGTTCGATGGTTAGAGGAATAATGCAGGATTTGTTTTATCTTGGAACTTGGAAGTGGAAGTCAGAGGTGACAACGTTCCAGTTTCCCGCTTGTGGAGGCTTGTATTTTCTATTTTTCTGATGTCACAACGGCCACTGTTACAGCCATAACAATGACTAAAGCATTGTTCTAAATAGGTTTCTGAATTCAAATTGAACACGCTATAAAACCATGTCATTCAGACGCGCCACCTTGGTGAGTCAGGAATTGAAAGCTCGATAGCATTGAAAGCATAGTGAGCATTCATAGTTTTATTTTAGATAATATTTCTATTTAGTCATGTTAAATTCACCTTTGCTTTCTTTTTACCTGACAATTACCCCAACTAATCAATGTCTCGTGTAACTTTCCCACTTTTTGGTCCTTTTTTTAGGTTTAGTTTCCCTTTTAAAAAAGCAAGTATTTGGTTTAAACTTGAGGGAACCTGTTTCTATTGGCTCCCTTAATATTATGTGAATCTTTCCTCTGCTACTGGGACACAGGTGATATAAGGATTTAATGTGTTTAGACCTAAAGGATAGATTATGTTGCTAATCAGAGCAATTAAAATAATAATTTGTTTTGCTCACCATTAAAAACAAGTTAAAACCAGTCAATGACAACAAAGCTGCAGTAATGTGAAGAAGTTGACCTTTTTTACCTCTGTGTAGTTGTTGCGTTATTTAAATGTTCACATTACGAAGCATTTGTACTGATTAATGCAAAATCATAGTCTTTAATTTTAAAGAGCATCTATTTTTTCTAACCATATGCTGTAACAATCACCTCATTGTGAACTGAGCATAGTGTTGTGTCATGGTTAAAAGTGATTCAGATGGGAAATTAATGATTGGAATCCACACCAGTCTGACTGGTTCCCTGAAAAAGCAAAGTGTAGTGCTTTTCATTCCTTCCAGTTGCAGTACAACACACCTCACTAAGCAACCAGGTGTTGATCAATGTACAAACTGTTCACATTAGAACGCTTTTGCGCATGCATAAGTCAACACCTTAACATTTATTCGGTTGATTTTCACAAGTGGCCTTCCAGTCCTTTCACATCTGTTGACATATGTGCTTCCTGTGTCACTTTTGCTTCTTTTTTTTAACCATGAGACAGCTCAGAGTTGATGCACAGAGAGGGTAATATTTAGAAGAGCCTCAAATATATAACTAGACTGAAAGAGACACCAGAGAGAACCTCCTCAGGCTCAAAGAAATAAAGAAAAAGGATTGGAGCGGGCTTCGGTCAAAGGTACGTGATACATTTATAACCAGCTAGATTTTTTTTGGCTGTAATGTACGTTTCTGACAAAATAATGGTGCATCTGGATTTATAGACATATAGCTGAGTAGAGGTTGAACTAACAAATTCTGCACAATGGGAGAATAAAGGTAGAATGAAGCAGAATGATGAAAAATGATCCCCATGTCCTCCAATAGTCTAAGCTTATAGTAGCATAACTATAGAGATAGCTCAGGATTACCTCAGCTACTTTAAATATAAGCTTTATCAAAAAGGACCTTTTTAAGTCAACATTTAAAAGTAGACAGGGTGTCTGTCTGTCTCCAATTTAACTTTTTAGAATTTCTAGGAACCACTAGTAAACCTGCAGATTGAGAGTGAAGTGCTCTGTTAGGAACTTAAGTAACAATCATCTCTGATATAAGATGGAGCTTGGCCATTTAAGGCTGAATATGTGAGAAGGAGGATTTTAAATTCTACTCTAGATTTAATGGGAAGCCAATGACTCTGGTCCAGACGATAACTTCTGATTCACCTGCATTTAGAGGAGAACGTTAAGAGTCATGCAGGTTTTTATGTTTCAAGACATGCCTGTTGTCTAAGTAATGGGTTGGCTTCATCTGGATTTATTGACAGATATAGCTGAATATCATCGGCTTAACAGTGGAAATTAATCCCATGCTGCCTCATAATTAAATAAATTGGGAACATTTATATAGTTAAGAGAATTGGGCCTAGCAATGATCCCTGTGGTACTCCAACAGTCTAAACACAA